ATCCCTGTACTTCCAAATGCTTTTACGTAATCTGTAAAAAAAAAACATCTTTCAGCATTTGTTTTGCGTTCTCTAACATTCTGATCATGAATATCAAACTTCTTGTTCCAGCGTCCTTGAATAAGCTGCACTGTTCTTGTTATATATACGGTCTAATTCTGCTTCCTGCTCTATTCATCAGGATGCGCTTCATTAGTTTGCTTATGAGGCTCATTAAACTGATTGTCCGATGGAGCTCACATTCATTTGCAACTGGTCACTTAGGTGATGTTACGAAGATCGATTTAGTGGGGTCCTCCGGAATCTCGCCGCTGTTGTATATTTACATCAATACAAGTAATCAATCTTGTCCTTTTGCCTTTTTTATGTTTTGCTAATTGTTCTGGTTTATTTGTAATATTTAACATAGCTGAAAGAGGGAGTTAAAACGGTGGGTCAAAATATACAGCATCGCCACTCTACAAAAAAAAATGTTACACAACGGGGAATTGTCTGATTTGACTTTGTCATTACCAAAAAATAACAAGGAATCTTACATCGTCGGTGATGGAAGGGGTTGCTGAAACACCGACGCCAGCATAACAGTGGTCGCAGGGCCCGGATCGGGCAATTTTTGTCCTTGGACCATATGTACGTGTATGGGCACCTTACATTTAAAAAAAAAAATCTTTTATCACACCCTACGAATTGGAGAGGTGTGCAAATGCCAAATCACCAAAGGTGTATGTTCCAACGAAGAAATGAGTGAAAAATAAAATTGAGGTTCTCAAACGCCCCCCCCCAATCCGACAAAAATAGACAATTAAAAGATCTTCAAAAATACAAGGATTTTATAAAGACAAGAAATAGGCACTTTGACGTTGTATAATGCATAACAAGCTTGCCTCGTTGGCTCAATACGAATGAATAGTGGGCTCGATTCTTACAGGGTGCTCTATACTTGCGGCCTTGTGCTATATCTAGGCTACGCTAAATAAATCGCTATAGTGACAACTAACATTTGACTGTGTCGGAGGTCTTTAGTACCATACTAGCGCCAAGGACATTATTTCTGGTGACATCTGCTTTAACAATCAGAAAGTTCATATTAATAGGGAATATTTCGAAGAGGCGCCGAAAGCTAACAGTATTCTGGTACAATACATATATCGAAGAAGTGGGTTACATTTTACCCGATATAAAACAGATCATGACGGTGGTACCTACTCAGGTGACAGGTACCATCGTCATGATGCGAACTCTAAAGCCTCAAACGAAGAACATGGGTAGGAGAAAGATAAACACATTGTGAACAACGTACCAATGGACATCTCTGACATCTACCTGGAGGTCTTTGTCCCGATTTGAAACGGGTGCGTTCTTTTGAGAGATTAAAGTATATATGTCTCAGTGAACAGAAAAAAAAACACTTCAAGACATCCCGAATATCATAATCTTTTGGGGTCGTCAATTAACAGTAATATTAGAAAGTCAGCAGCCCTCTTCACAGGTAATATGCGCAGGCGTTGCATTTGCATAAACCAATCAAACTGCGGTCCGTTTGGCTTTCTGAATGTCACGTTTAATTTCAGGAAAGAAATAGCGTTTATTTAAATTTTGTTTCGCTTCATTCTCACTTTCTCCTCACATTTTCTCAGACATAACTACAACCACAATGATTTAGTAAAATGTTGTTTTTTTCAAAATTTGTAACGCTTCGTTGAATGTAACGTTTTTTAGCATTTTAAACCATTGATGATTTTCACTAAGGGAATACGTCTTTTGCTTTAGAAACAGGAAAACTTCTTACTGCGTATGTTAACCACACTGTCACTCGTGATGATATTATACTATGTCTTTATTGTTTTTAATTTTAGAAATAATCGAATTTTTTAACTTGTAAGGCAGTACGGCCTTCTGTAGAGAAAATGGTTGCAGTATATTCGACGAAAAATTACCTTGAATTGTTTTTTAATTAGTTTGACCCGCCTTATGACGAATGGTACCCATTGTTCGAAAAAGTTTACCTATACCCGTTAAAAACAATGTTTCATGAATTTTCAGCCATTTTAGAAGAGTAAGTCCGGGAAAATGCTGTATCTTCATCACCAGCGATTACGACAAACAAAAAAAGTAGGTATTAACAACTGATGGAAGTTGGTGTGGATGAAATCAGAGGAACAACCACAGTCCCCATCCAAAATTCAGGATCCAAATGAAAATTAGTATCTGCAACCAATACAAGTGAAAGTATTCTCTTGAAAAAAATAAATAAATAAAAGAGCACGTTAAAATAAGAGACGTGAAAGTCAAAAGAAAAGCCGGGTAGATATGGCCACAATTCCTTACATCAACCAAATAAAAATCCCTTACCCTTACAGAAAAGAAAAAAAGGATCAAATCTAAAATAGTTCTTCACTAGTTAAAAAAAAATCCCTGTCAACCCCAAAAAAGACTTTCTGAAAAAAGAGGGGGTAGCTTGTGAGGTGGGGAAATATGTCCGAGAAAAGAACCTACTTGGACGCCAAAAACATTCATAAAATATGAAGTTGTGAAGTCATGATAGTACATACAAGAAGAAGAAGAAGAAGAACCGATGAAAAGGATGGGTGACTGAAGGTATGTCTGCAGATTCTTGAAGTTATTAAATTCTTCAGAAATACAGGTATTCGCTTTGGGTTGAGGGATATGATTAGATCCGCCTAGGAAGTGACACCAGAAATAAAAATTAGCCCCATTGGTATTTGTGAAGTTCCCACTTTAGTTCACCTCACTATATACGATATTAAATTAACTTTCCTCACAGTCGTCAGCAAAATCGTTATCTGCGACTGATTCTGACAGCCTATGACACATTGAAAGAAATCTATGCCAATCTGGCGCAAGAGACCGAAGAAAGGCGGCTTGCCTGCTCTGGACTTCGTGTTCCTCGATATCAATATGGATTCAATCAAATAAATTCAGCGGTCCCGAACTGTGTGTCTTGGCTGAAGGCTTAGTTGTTTCTTCGGCATACGGATGTACAGATGTGAAGCGATTTCCGTACGTGAGGGTTGATCTTGTCCACGCAGACGCGGAGGATGAAAAAGGCTAGTCATGGCCGATGTTGCCGTAAAGAGTTGCTGGATCACGCCGGCTTATGTTTCTTTCTTTGGCAACTGAGGCTTTTACTGTCGGATTCAAATTGGCTCGTATTAATTGGCAATTCGAATGCCAACCTTGATAGAAAGCGAAATAGAGACCTAATCAGGTACAGTAATGATCATACTCTTGTCGATAGATATCGGGTTAGTCACCCCAGATGGAAAATATGGACTCCGTGGAAATTTTCCCTCCACCCCGAAACTCAGCAACTTGGGAAAGTGTCCGAAGGTTTGACGTAGATTTCCTGAATTCTCCAGCGTTTCATGGTTAGGCCATTCAGGCTGCAAACTTCTTTCGGCTCCGATTCGGTTAGAAAACAAGCTTAGTGTTGTGTATGATACACCTAATTTACATAAGCGGACTACCGACCATATAAATATGGGTTGGTACCGGAAGACGGGGTAGATAGTAGAGATTAAGAAATTGAATCCAGAGACTCTGCCCGACTGCGATTTAGTCAACCCATTATGCAGGAACAGTCTTCCCAAGAATATACCAAACTAACTGTAAATATTGTGTACCTATTCTTTGTTTCAATACATTTTGTTAACGTACATTTTGTGTTGTATTATTCCATGCTTATTTAAGCTTCAACACTTAGACCAACTCGACAATCGAAGTTCAATGTGCCTTGACAGGTTAATTTCGATTTTCGGCAACTGCTAGTAGATGTTATTAAACGAGGAATTAGTTGGAGTCGTAGAATCAAATACTATTCTATACTAAACATAAGTTAAACGACTTTCTTCCGAGTCACGCTCTTAAACAGACTCGTCAGATCAAGATTTTTATATGTATGTCATGCATGGCGCCAAATATGTTCAGAAATATCTAAACTGTCAGTTGTATACAACCGCTTTCTATGATCAATGATTAAAAATCGCTTCAAGCGGACAAAGCCTGTGGTTCTTAGCAAAGACTATCCTTCTTCGAACATTACGGATTGACGCTACAGAATCACAAACAAATAACTGTACCAGATAACAGAAATACCACCACCTGAGGAGATCCAACAGCAGCAACAACTAAAATGGTTATCACATCTAGCTTAAAGAGAAAATAATAACATAATCAGTATATTGATTTTCCATATTAATTCAAATAAAAGATTAAGAAGGAAACACCCGTCAATACTGGAAAGAGCGAGGACAGTTCACTTGAGAAACATATTTTCTTGAAAAAATTCTTTGAAGAGAACGATTCTAAAACTATTACTGGCTCCTAGGCCAATGAATGCCAAATGTTTCTTTATAAGGAAACGGTTAATATTATCATTACTTTTCAGGCATTGTATTTATTTGGTAAGGCAGGTTCATTATATTTTCAAACAATTTTCTTCGCTGTACAATTATTTTGTTCCACGTTTATCAAATTTATAAAATAAGGGGGTAAGTTGAAAGATTCCTATCAGCATTCCCGATGGTATTTTTGGTACAAAAATATAGGTGGGGGGCTAATCTTAAGTAAGGGATTAGATCATTCACCGTCAAGTATAATCATCTCACTTACCCGAAACAAGACGAATAAAGTGAAGATTGTGGGTATTTTTATGTGAGTACCGTGGAGCAAATATATTTTGGTGAATAGAAATTCTAGATTGATTGACTGAATGATTTGTTTTTTACGGCTTATCAACCTCTTTCAGATTATATAAAACCAGAAAATACTTTTTCCATTGTAAGAATTTTTTCGTGATAATAATGATTTACTGATACAAATCCTACTAATTAACCCATACCTGGAGGAAAAGAGGTGATTTCATACCTTTTCCAAGGATATATTCGAATAAGTAAATATAATGAATCCGACTGGAATTGGTACTCTGCACTCAGATTTCTCATTCTGAGCCGTTATTCATTACACCGCCTACACATCCATCCTGGTGTTCCCAAGCGGTCAAAAGTACTAACCAGGCCCAACGTTGCTTAAGTTCGGTGATCGCAAGTGAGCCGGTGTTTCAACGTAATATGGCCTTAAGTCAGAGATTCTATACGTAAAGGATGGACTCTTTTAGTGAAAGGAATAATGTTATATCAATAAGTCCCTAATTAAGATTAGTTTTGATCGTTGATGACCTGCATTTCTTTATCTCTTGGGAATATAGAAATAAAAAGATGTTAGCAGAGTATTGTAATCGACTAACAGCAAAATTGTTCAAATCGCATAATTGTTCATCCTCCAAAATATTTAATATCTAAAAAATCACTAAACTAACTGAGTTTCTTTTTTGCAGGTTTTCAGATAAGAGGTTTAGCCATCTTGACACCATTTGTAAGAATCACTGAAAAACCCTTTGAGTTATTCACTTAGAAAGAGAACAAGTCAAAATCGTTTTGTGTCAACCCCACCATGTCTTCCCAACTGAGCAATGGTGAGAGGAAAAAGATCATTCAGGACTTCAGTGATGATACTAACATTCATATTCTGGCTTTCATCTTCCAAGTCAATTCAAGAACCATCAAGAGAAAGTGAATAAATTTAAAAAAGAGGGAACAGTAAAGAGGAAAACTGAATCAAAGATCATAACAGGAAGAGGGACCATCATTTCAATTTATAGCTAAAGAGATCGATTAGAAAAGATCCAACTCAATTCATAAGACGTTTGGCACGTGAGAGAGATGTTTCACCTATGACAGTTCAAAAAGCAGTAAAAAAGACTTGAAAATGAAATCGTCTGTCAAACATGTAATGCACCTTGTATTCACAATAATAACGTTTTGATAATTAATAATAATAATAATAAGAAGAAGAAGAAGAAGAAGAAGAACAGTATGTCTACTCAAACACGTGTATCCAGAAAAAAGTTTTATTATTATATTTATATTATTATTATTATTATTAATGATAATAATACTAAAATAACAGGGCGTCTACTCAAACACGGGTATCAACAAACATAACTCTTCGAGTAATAAGAAATAGAGTAGGATTAAAAATAAAACCCACTAATTGTCAACCATTATTAAATTTGGCACTGATGTTTTTATTTTTTAAGTAAAGAATTTAAAAAGAGAAATTCGCTCAGGTTCTCGTACCTTGGTTAAAGTAACCAGACTTTTACCTGCCTACCCCAAAGAAAAAAGGGGCGTCAGTTCAAATTCCACCAAGAGCTTATGTTTTATTTCCAATCCGGCATTGCCTACTATCTGCTGCGGAAAGAGCTTACAAGTACAGAACACTGAATGAAGAACGAGATGGTTACTTAATAGTGATGGTCAACTAGACTAACTCACTGAGCATTACTTTATCCCGAGGCGCTCAATGACCAGTTGGGTCAGTAATCTGTGCACCCCTGGATATAAATGAAATAGCTGCATTATATGATCTAATTCCGATATTGTATATATTCCGTATAGCTCGTCATTTCCCGCGGATATTGAGGGAATCTTATTGATTTCATAACAACAGTTGTGATATTTCTTATCCGCAGACAGTTGGTAAATATTTGAATAAACAACAAAACCTGAAAAGAATAACCATTTCTCCACATCTACGTTGCTGATGTTCAACTGCGCCATTATGTTATTATGCACTTTTTGAATCATTTCACCCCAAGCAAGCCAATAAGGCTACTAGGACGCAAAGGGGTTACTGAGTGTTAGAATTTATGAGATAAACTACAATGAAGGAGAAAGAATAATAAAAGAACAAGAATTAAGAAGATAAAAAATAACGATTGACGCTGCATTTAAATTTTTGAAGATCAAAGTTGATTGAGAAGCAAGAAGATAAAAGAAAGTTTCACAATCAAGAAGTACGATAGAAGAAACTGTTAGCAAAGAACTTATGTTTACATCCCGTCCTTTCAACTGTAAAATGATGGGACCTAGCCGCCAATCTAGTAGTGCGCTTAAATTCATAAAGTCTAGGTAACATAGTGTAAAGTTCATCTGAACAATTACCTCGAAAGTATTTATAGAAAATGCACAGGGAAGCTACGTTACGACATTGGGAAGGTGACTGAAGCCGAGATGGAAGTAACAATAGCATTGCGTATTCTGCTTTGTATTTGTGACAGCAATATTCAAAGCAAAGACTTGTAAATGTTTACGATGGATTCTGACGAGAAAAATTATCCAGCACGACATAGTGAACTAACTTTTTCGCTGAAGACTTTTGCTATTAATTAATTTCTCGGCGAGCAGTGATCATCTATTTGTCAATGACTCTTCTATTAAACATGTTTTGTACACTACCAAGAAGCCGACATTGGCTTTTATATGGAAAGTTTTTATCTATAATCTCTCTGAGAAACATGGGGATTTTTTATTTAACTGCACAAGGAAATATATTAAAAGAAAGACATTCGTATTGGATGTCGGCATCTTTATTGGATACCTTTTGTTTCTTTTGAATAAACATAGTTTATTTTATCAAATTATTAGCAAAATGTATTATTCTTTTGTAGCTTTTCACCTGCTTGTTTGTTTGTTTGTTTGTGTTTTACGACATATCGACCTCCTCAGTCATTTAATGTCAAATCAGGTTATTATTGGAGTATTATTTTCCAATATAATAGTCCCTTCCATTTCCACAAACGGAGAGGTTTGCCATGCTGAAAAAGGTTTTTAGAAATGAAATGGTTTGTAGAAAAAATCTGGTTCTGTCAAAAAAAATTTTTTGTAGAGAATTGTATCGTAGAAAGTTTCTTCCTTTTTTGAGAAATGGTATGCAGAAAGAATCAGATTTTGTTGAAAACATTCCTTGCAGCAAAAGTTTGCAGAAAACTCCCAACTTTTTATGCTTTTAGATTTTTTTGGTACAAATTGACTGCTTTCAGGAACGATATTATGTTATCCATGTCAGTTTTTGGAACAGTTCCTTCATGTTACTTGCACTATAAAGCGTTTCTCTTATATGGGCTAGGTCAGTACATTCAATGAGAATGTGTTTCACTGTGTATGCGGTCTGGCATGCATAACACATTGGTTGTTGCTTTGCTTCAAGTAAGTAGGAATGTGTTGTCCTTGTATGGCCTATACGAAGTCTGGACAATATCACTTCCTCTTTTCTATTTTTCCTATAGCTCTGTTTCCATTCTCCCAATTCAGGTTTAATTTTTAGTAATTTATTATTACTATTGCTGTTCCAGCGTTGTTGTCTTTGTTGCAGTATGTATTTATTTATCTTCATTTTAAGGTCTGTATATGGTATTTTGAAATTTTTTCTATGGTCATATTTAGAGTAGACCTGGCTGCTTTATCTGCCTGGTCATTTCCACCGATTCCAGTGTGACCTGGGACCCAACATATCTGTATATCATTATCATTTGATAGGTGTTCTAATTTACATAGTATTTTCACTATCAATGGATTATCAAACTTCCTGTTTTTTAGTGATTCTAATACTGATAGTGAATCAGAAAAGATAATGAACTTGTTGTTCCTTGATTCTGAGATGAGGTTAAGAGCCATGTTAATTGCGCAAACTTCTGCACTGAATATAGAGGTGTCATTTTGGGAGATGTTTTTAAATATTTTTCTATTATATATTGCGGCACATCCTGTTATTTTTCCTACTTTAGATCCATCTGTGAAGACATGTGAGTGCCTAGGATATCTCTCCTTAACTTTCTCTAATTCCTCTTGGAAAATTAGTGGGTGGGTTTTATTTTTTAGTATTTACAGAGGGTTAAGTTTATGTTTGGGGTTCTTATGGTCCAAGGTGGGATATCTGGTATGATTGTTTTATGGATTTTGTCAAATCTACATCTGCTTCTTCTATAATTGTTTCCATCCGAAGTCCAAAGGGTTTTATGGCTTTTTCATTCCTTTGGAATAATTCTTTTGTATTTTGGATAGAAGGTACTATTGTACGCAGGATTTGCTGGGCATGACCCTAATTTGAGATAGTACTGGAGGGCCAGTTTATGGCTTCTACTATTTGCAGGTGCTTCGTTAGCCTCAGCATATAGGCTCTCGACTGGAGATGTTCTAAAGGCTCCTGAGTACTAACCTCAAACCTCCATGGTAGATCGGGTCAAGCATTTTTAAATAGGATTTTCTGGCTGAACGGTATATAAAATTACTGTAATCCAATTTTGATCTAATTAGGGATCTATACAATAATAACAGAGTGTTTCGATCTGCTCCCCATTTTGTGTGGGCTACCACGCGCAGTAGTTGTAATGTTTTGTTACATTTGGTTTTTAAGTATTTCAGGTGGGGAATAAATGTTAGTTTTTTGTCAAATATTACCCCCAGAAACTTGTATTCATCTACAACTGGGATCTCTGAACCGTCAAGTTTCAGCCTAGGGTCATTATGGAGTTTCCTTTTGTGACAAAAATGGACACATGTTTTTGTTTTAGAGAACTTGAATCCATTTGTTGTTGCCCATCTGCTGATTTTATTTAGACCCTGTTGCAGTTTTCGTTCGATTGTGTGGATATATTTTGATTTATAACATATCATAAGGTCATCCACATATAGTGATCCATCGGTTCCTGGTGGTATTTCCTTGATTATAGTGTTTATTTTTATGTTAAATAGTGTTACGGACAATATACTGCCTTGTGGGACACCCTCTTCCTGATTTTTCACATCTGAAAGTGTAGAGTCGACACGAACTCTGAATTTTCTTTCAGATAAGAATCCATCAATAAACTGTGGCAATCTACCCTTTATACCCAGGTTACTCAAGTCCCTCATTACTCCATATTTCCACGTCGTATCATAAGCCTTTTCTAGATCGAAAAATATAGCTGTAAGGTGTTCCTTTTTGATAAATGCTTCTCTAATATTTGTTTCAAGGCGTATTAAGTGGTCTATTGTGCCTCTTTTTACTACGGAACCCACATTGTAAGTTGGAAATAAGATTGTTTGATTCCAAATGCCAAATCAACCTGTTGTTTATTATCCTTTCCATTGTTTTACACAAGCAACTGGTTAAAGAGATAGGTCGATAGTTTTGTGGGTCCAAGCCATCTCTTTTGGTTTGGGAATTGGTATCATTGTTGTCTCTCTCCATATAT